AAATAATCATTAAAATTTATTATTTTATTTAAAAATTGATAAAATTTACCTTCTTAAATTAAAAATTAACAAAATTTATATATTTATTTAAACATTTTTCCATTAATCTTATTATGTATCCTATATTATAGAAAAACTATATAAAGAGTTGTTCGTAAAGGTGGTAAAAGCAAATCCAACCCATCAACCGACTATAAATAGGTTAGGGTCAATATTTTTGGATTTGCGTTCTGTTAGCAACTTGTAAAGTTGACCCAAACCAGTTATAAGTAAAAAAAGAAGCAATTGATGGGTTCATGGGCTGATCTGTTTAATAAAAACATAATTTAAAATTTAAATATTTAATTTTTATTAGTAATATTAATCAAGCATTTAATAATGACAAGTGTTAAATTTAATACCAATTAAAAGTTTACTAAATTTAAATAAAATAAAATTGCATGCTAAAATTTTAGATTGAATAACAATTAGCAAAAGTATATTTTATGAACTCCAGCTGAGCACCATGAGACGGTGAAAAGTCTCTGAGCAAGCAACACAACAAAACCAACTATAGTACAGATGGTATTAACTTTAAAAATAAAAAATGTTCATTTTATTTTTTGAGCAAAAAGTTCTTTTTCCTAATAATATGTACGCAGTTTTTTTTTTTTGGTCCCTAAAGATATATACTTAAATTAAATGACCAAAAGTTCTGTTAATAAAATAAATAACATCCTAAAATTTCATGTAAATAATGGTCTTGAAATGATTATATATTTTAAACCCTATTAAGTAATTCTTGGCTATTGATTCTTCTCATAATTTTGTAAGTTTGGTTAAAATAAAAAAATAGAATAATTCTTAATATTATGAAAATTTATTCTTTAATTTTTTAGAAAAGAAAGTTAATTTTAGAAAAAGTAATTTTTTTCAAGATTTATCATTTACAAATTCAGTGAATTTTAATAGTTTAAAGATTATAAATTTTAACTTTAACAAAATAAAAAAAAAATTACATTGAAAAAAATAAAACAGAAAAAAGGTCAACCTATAGGCTAATCTATAATTTACTATAATCAGATTAGAGTTAAAAATTATTGACTCATTACCTATTTATAACTTAATTTATATAAACCCGTGACTC